CAGTATAATAATGTATCCCTTCCTGCTGACTATACTAAAAGTTGCTCATCTATTTCAAGCTTCCCCAGTAGAAAAATGTTGTTCAGTGATTTAGCATGCACAAAGTTCATTCTGATCTCTAGAAACCGTGGTGGCTGAAACAACCTAATCCTGTTTCTTAGTGAAGAGGAATGTCGACACAGCCCTTCTGGGGGCTGTTTCCCTTCTCCTCCTTTAGAAATGGCAGGTGGGCTGCTGCTGACATGGCTTCCTTGTGTAGCTGCTCCAGTAGGAAGAAGGCTTTCAGAAATAGTGATCATGACTTTTTTTTTTCCTGTGGACTTCCTTAATTATACTTTCTTTTTAGAAATTTGACCTGAGCATGTTTGTGAATAATTATGGACAGAAAATGCCAAGAATGTGAAAAACACCAGCAAGAGGAATTCTACTATCCCAAACTAGCTGCCTTCCTAAGCTACTTTTGATCCATTGACCTCACTGGTCAGATTCTATTCCTTTCTGAGAGACAGGAATGTCTTTATTTTGAAATTCAGGTATATGTATTTGTGGTACATTACTTCCTTCAAGGGAAAAAAAAAAGTATCTACAGTTCAGCAGGACCATTGGAAAATCATAGTGTCAAAGGTTTGAGTAAACATGACACCGTTACTGCTAAGTGTGAAAAAACAAGTGGTTACTAGGGAATGATTATTATTCAGAATATATTAACAAAAGCTCAAGACCTCTAATTTAAAAATTCTTTGTGTTACTCTATGATTTAGAAAGGTGGCATATATATATACAAAGTGACATTATAATCTTAACTCATTTTATTACTTTTTGCCTTTCCTCTACTTCATTAATGGAATTTAAAGCAGACTACAAAAGAAAAAAAATGCAAAATCAGTGAATTAAGACTCAAAGCATGAAAGAAATATCAGAAGACATCCAGAGTATATCCTAACAGCTATCCAGATTTAGATAATTACTATAAACTGGGCTTATATTTTCTTAGTTGGACCATGACATCCCAAACCCAAAAAGGAATAAGGAACAAACCTTGGCTTACATTATATACTTCTTGTGCAGAATGTGTGGAACAGATAAACTTGTGTTCAAAGAAACCCCAAATTTTCTGAATCTGGTTCAAACAAAAGAGCTCTGGATAGCATGGTAGCCTTAAAGGAATCTTTTTGCCTATTATTTTGTTTTTGTTATGGAAGTATGCCAGTGGATGTTCTCATTATTTTGTCCACCTTTTGCCTAAAGGAATCTCCTTACTGCTGTTGGAATATTTTATGCTAATCTTTGATTTCCACAGACTGAATAAAGACTAAAAATGTCTTTATTATGGAAATATTCAAATATGGCCTAGATAGAAAAAAGGACTTCCATATACATATATATTAATATTATATTTTATATATATATAATATATAATATATATAATATACATATGTATAGTACAGCTTCAGCAATGATCAATATTATATCATTTCTTTTATTCTATGTACACTATCAATTAGCTATTTCTGAATTGAAAACCATGCTAAAACAGATTGATTTCATACAAGAAACATTTAGTACTCTTCCTAAGTGTACTGTTTTCTTCGGATGTGTGGAGGAGGAAATAGATATTTTTTCCTTCTATTCTTCTGTGTTCTCGGCTGGGTCTCTGTAACAAAAGACAGATTAACA